GTGTTTGATTTCTTTCCACATGCAACACATCTATACAGGGTGATTCTGAACTATATCACAAAGTAAGTCAGATTTTCTTGTACCATCATGCTTATATCATTAGGAAATTTGTTTTCTTGAATTGAGCAAATTTTCACTTACCTTTGCCAAGTTCAATTCAAGTGGCGCCTGGGAAATTCTAGTTCACTTTAAGTTATAAATGTCTTTGCACCACCATTTGTACCCCGACCACATGCTCTACCGACCCAATGCTAACGGAGATAGTGACTTTTATCTTTTCTAACAAAAATGAGGTTACGCATTGAGGTTTATGTCTAGACATTGTAGTAAAGAGGATTTGCTGAATATGTATTACAGAACTATCCACTGTCATCTACGGTATGGAATGGAACTGGGTACAGGGTCAACTGCAGAAAGGGTTTTTATTCTACGAAAGGAGGCTATCAGAATCATTGCTGAAATCGGGTGGAGTCAATCATGCAGAAATTCATTCAAAGAACTTCGAATACTAAGAACAGGCCGAACTTCACATCTAATCAGCATCAATACTCGATTTGCTCTGAAAACTTGTTAATACCCAACATGCACCGAACCACCATTTACCAAAAAAGTTTTCTCTTTCTTGGACCAAAGTTTCTCAATAAGCTAGATGAATCGGTTGAGAAATCACCAAATTTGATAATTGTCGAATTGAGATTGAAAACTGCTCTTATCCAAAAAAATTTCTACACCCTCGACGAATTCTAGGTTTATATAGTCCCATTTTACTAGTAGTTTTAGTAGACTGTGAAGTCGTTTTAGTTATTCTTGCCTCTGCATACATCTTTTTTTATTTCTAACATATTATCTCAGTTTTAGATATATGTATGTATGTGTTGTGTATGTATATATAAATTTATATTCAGCATTATGACGTTTTCCTTGTTATTGTACCATTGAAGTCATCTTCTATTTTGTACTTTTCAACAAGAGAAATAAACATATTATTATTATCATTATTATTATATTAACATGAGCCCACAAATGCCTCCCTGGGAAGTTATAGCCTTCTGAAAGAGGGCTTGAGATGATGATTTTTTGAAAATATTCCTGCCCTCTGTGTTGAGATGACGAAATTTTGTACATGAATATAACTCTGCATGACCAACCAGGGTTTTTTTGAAAAATTTCCGAAATGTTGATCAAGGGCATGGAAAAGAGATGGGACTGAGAGCCATTTTCCAATTTTTGGAAAAATTCTGAAAAAATTCGAGACGACTGATTTGAATCTCGAGTACGAAAATATGTGATCGAATATTCGGATATTTCCACAATAACTTGTTGATGTTTCGAATAATTAAAGAAAGTGAAATGCTGTTTTTCATCGTATTATTACCAAAAATATCTCAAAAACTATGGATCGATTCAGCACGGCCAGTTTTACTATAAAATGGAATATCGCGAGATTTTCCGCTTCTTTATGAAATATTGTAATCTGAAAATGGTTGTATCGTCATTCGGAGGTTCCTGATTCTTTTTCGCATGTTGAAAAATTTCAATTTTCAATTTTTGGATAAAAATTTTGAAAAAATTCAAGACTACTGATTTTATTCTCGAGTTCGAGAAATATTCGGATACTTCCACGATAACTTGTTGATGTTTCGAATGATTAATGAAAGTGAATTGCTGTTTTTTAGCGTACTTTGACCAAAAATATCTCAAAAACTATGGGTCCTAGTCACCTGTTTGAGGTAGCACGGCCAGTTCTACTAGAGAATGGAATTTCACGAGATTTTCTGCTTCTTTTATGCAATATTGTAATCTGAAAATGGTTGTATCGTCATACGACTCGAAGCTTCCTGATTTTTGTTTTCGCAAGTTGAAAAATTAAAATTTTTGGATAAAAATTCTGAACAAATTCAAGACGACTGATTTTAATCTCGAGTACGAAAATGTGTGTTCGAATATTCGATTATTTTCAGAATAATCAAAGAAAGTGAATTGCTGTTTTTTGCGTACTTTGACCAGAAATATCTCGAGAACTATGAGTCCTAGCGACCTGTTCTAGGTCGCAATCGTTTCTGCACGCACTGTTCTACTAGGAAATGAAATATCGGGAGATTTTCTGCTTCTTTCCATGAATTATTGGTATCTGAAAATAATTGTATCGTCACTCGGAGCATTCTGAATTTTCTTCGCGATTTGAAAATGAAAATTCTTGGATGAAAATTGTGAGAAATATCAAGATGACTGATTTCAATCTCGAGTTCAAAAATATGTGGTCAAATATTCGAATATTTTCACAATAACTTGTTGGTGTTTCGAATAATTATAGAAAGTGATTTGCTGTTTCTAAGCGTATTCGCGAGATTTCCCGCTTTTTTCTATGCAATTTCCGGCAGTTTAACCAGGAAATATAATAATATCATTTTCACTTGAAAAAGATCCCCCTGTTCAGTTTTGATAGCACTCACCATTATCGAGATGAATCGATTTCAAAGGTCTACTGCGTATCAAAACTAGTGCTTTTTTCTTCTTATAGGGAACCAAATTTTCCCAAAACTTAATAATGTTTCGATGATGGAAATGTCCTCTTTTCAACATCAACTCTTGGAGTTTGACTCATAATATGAGAAGAACAATGAAAAGAATAATTTGAAAAATATTATGGTAGCTACCCTATTAAGAGAAAGTACTATTTCTATCACGAAGCAGACTTTTTGAATCGATTTATCTAGAGAATGGCGAGTGCTATCTTATTGGGCAGGAGCATGCACACAGGAGAATACCAGTGATAGATGAAACAGATTTATAATTCACAAAAATATCTATTTTGTACGCCTTCGATAAAAATGATAGTGATTTCCTACGAGAATGAAGTTTGCAGCATTAGCTATGGGCAAATGCTGCAATCGTTCGAGTAGGAAATTAGCATTCCGTGCAAGTTATACACTATAATTTTTCTACGGCTATAATAGATAACAGTGGCATTTTCGATTTCTTCGTCTTGTAGCCATCTGATTTCTTGTCAAGTAATGCTCATCTATTAGACAGAGATGTCATTTCTTGAAATTTGACATTCCATTGGCGATGAGTTTTTTTTTTTCAAATAATAACACAATGGAGTCATTGTGATAATCAGATACGGACATGAAATTGAGGACATACAAAGTACTTCATTGATGTATCGAACACAGTAAAACAAGTGAGGTACGTAGTTTTTGAAAGGTATCAGATTAGTAAAGACGTAGTTTTCATTAGGTACTAGATTATTATAGAGGTCAGATAATTTATACGACGCTATAAAAGCAGATGATATTTTATCATTGCTCATGTAAGATGGAAGTAGAGGCCATGGCACCATATCATGAGCATATTTTTAAATTGAAACTATCATTGGGCACCAAAGATTTGTATACGACGCTATGAAAGTTCAGAGATCTGGAGATTTTTCCCACAAATTACGTACTTAGCCCACTCGACTGTCTTGGTTTTTCCACACAAACTACGTACCTAGCCCACTCGACTGTCAATAGGGACTGAAAAAACAAAAACAAAAGAAAGTTGAAACTTTGCCAACATATTTCTTCTTTATGGGAAATCAAGACAGTCGAGTGAGCTAGGTACGTAGTTTATGGGCAAAAAATTAAGACAGTCGAGTGAGCTAGGTACCTAGTTTATTGGCGAAAAATAAAGACAGTCGAGTGAGCTAGTTAAGTAGTTTATGGGAAAAAAATCAAGACAGTCGAGTGTGCTTTTTTCACTTTCTTTCGTTATTTGTTTCGTTTTCTATTGTGATTATCTAGGAACTTGTAAATGTTTTAGTTTTTTCATCGTATCTCCCGAACTATTGAATTCAGAGAAAAATGTTATCGGGATTTTTTGTAGATTCTACCAAAAGAAATAATTTTGGTTCCAAAACATTTTCAGATATTTCCAGTTGTTTTCGAGATATTTGGAATCATCTGAGAATACAATTTTCAACACTTCTGTTCCATCTTACAATCAACAAAAGGAAAGAATATTGCATGGTTCAGTAGAAGTCGATAAGCTTCATCTATCGATAATCTTTGTTTTTCAATATATCTTCATGGTACCCTATGGGTCGTTCACATTTTTTTTCTTCATATTTTTTACTTTATTTCCTGTACTATTGGGTTCACAAAAAAAATTATGGGTAATAATTTGCAGCAAATGTTCCAGTGAATAACTTTGCACTTCTGATAATTTTCGATTTTTCCATTTGTTTTCGATATATATTGAATTGAAAGGATTTCAAATTTTGATGTTTTGATTTTCATTTGTTTTTCCATTTTTCGATGGATGCACGAAAAAATTGTATTATAATAATTTGTTGCGTCATCAAAGAGGCATACGGTGCATTTTTCAAATTTGGATTTAGTCTATTGGTTCAGGAGATATGTCTTTTCAAAGCGAACCGTGTGTTTCGGAAAATCTCCTTGAAAAACCCACTTGGAATTTCTCGACCCTGCTCAATTTCAATAGGCTTCGTCTCTTCCTGATAGAGTTTTTTTTTTTCACAAAAAATGAAATCGATCGGACCACTTTTGCGATTTGTAGAGTGGTCACAAGAAACTTCCGGTGAAAAATCGAAAAAACCCGGAAAAACCACCTTAGAGTTTTTCGATTTCCTTCATATTTGTATGACATAATATTTGTTTTGAGTACAATGATATGGCAAAATTTCAAGTCGATATGTCGAAGGGTTCCGGAGATATATCGATTTATGATTACCACAGAGTAGTTTTGGCAAGGCCGTATAGTATACTCCACTATAGCGTCGTATAACAAGAGCAATCTTGTGTTATGCCGTAGAAAAAGTCATATTCATGTACAAAATTTCGCTATCTCAACACAGAGGGTTTCGAAAATAAAAAAAACCCCAGTGTTCCATTTCTGAACTCATGTTTATGTCGACTTTTTTTTTAAATTTGTGGTGTGAGTTTCCCAATGTAATTTCAGGACACCCTTATATGTTTTTTTCACTAAAAATATGCAAAAAAAATGCAAAACATTTTACTTTTGTATGTAAACTGAACGAAATACATTGCACGTTAATTGAAGAATCACCCTCTACGATCTATAAAAGGTTATAGACATTAGGAGGAAGATGAGGATTTCTGCGTATTGCAGGAAGGATTTTCATTGGAAATTTCGCATGCATATTCATGATCAATGGCCGATATGCGAATTTTGGCATCATCATATACAAAAAATCCTTGTCCAATACATCAATACCACCTCCTATCAACGAATTCCTTGCAGCTGATGGTATGTGAGGTGGTCTTGTGGGTAGTCGGAAAGGTGTCGATGTTGTTCGATAGATTGTTGGTGATGAAGTTGTGATGGTTGGAAATGTTGGTCTGGGTGACGAAGATGTTATTGTTGGTTCGAAATATGCTGGTCGTGGTGGAGGTGGTCTAGCTATTTGTCCAATCATAACTTTCGGTCTATATCCTCCTTCTCCTGCTACGTAATAGACGTGAACTGGAGTTCCGTCTGGAGAGATATAAGAATAATCTCCCATCACGTTCAGGGCACCTTCTTTTCCGTCAGGCGATACCTCACCATGTTCTGATCTTTTGATGCCATCGCTTGACTCGAATCTGGAAAATTAAGCAACAACTTTAACCGAAGATAAGTGTATTTGAGTATGATGTCGATGTTAATTTGATAACGCTAATGACGATGACGAGACAGCATCAAGATGCAAAATGTGTTCTTTAAGCAACGAAAAATACTCAAGGTTCAAGCCAGCCAATCCCAGATAGCAGAATGACCTGGAAAAACATTATATTAACGTCTAGTTCACGTCATTTTTGGTCGACGACGTTTTTTGACCAAAATATTATCTAAAAATGATGTCATGTTTCATAACGTCTTAATGACATCCCCACAAAGTCGTATATTCTTCCATTCAACCAGAAGAAGAAAATCAGTCGATTCTTCACCTTTTCATCGTCTGTTTTACTAAATTCGTGTTTGTACATAGATCAAAGAGTCTCTTATTGAATCAATGGTTTGTAAACTTGGAATCCTTGGCTGCATTAGGTGTAGACTTGAGAAACTCCTAGTTAGATAATGCTTCTAAACTGTTGGGGAATTCGAATCCTACTTTTCAATCTCAAAATAATACCGAAGTATTGATCGGTTTATGTTAGTCATCACTGTAATTGTTTCGTCATATCTCACCATTTTGTCTCGTCTTATTTGTCAATTCGTAAAATGCACTGCTATTTGATGATATTTAATATTGACTCATCCTACCCAGTCAACACATTTGTAATATTCATACATACATATGCCGTCAGTTTCCTATAACGAATATTCCATAACTTAATGCCCTCAAATTGATGTCAATGTACTGTAAATCGTAAATAAATTACGTTACAATGATCAATCAGTATTTCTCGAGTTATCACGAACGAACACGATCGATATATATTCGAGGACTCGCTTGAAGGTCGATTGAAGTTTCGTCTCGAGTTGGAAATGAAATTTCTTGACCAGCGAATCAAGATAGTACCACAGTTGAGAGAATATTAGATATACTAGTCTATTTTGGTGAGTTGAATAATATGTTTGATGCATGTTCTCCTACATATAACAAGAAAACACGGTCCGCAAGGTAGATGGTGGTCGTTCACATTCATCAGCAATTTGAGGTAGGTAATTGTTCAACTAAGTATCAGCCAATCGTACACTTCTAAAAATATCAATCGCCGTGTCCGAGCTTTCCTTCTAGAACGCCTCCGTTTATTCGATATCGAATTTATACCATTTGTCTGTTACACACTGTATGTAAATTCAGTTTCAAGGATCAATTGATATCAAAGTTCCTAATAAATGACGAAGAAGGAGACATATTTGTACTCGAGATGCAGAACACAACACATGCGATGACAATCATAAGAGAATATGGCTGGGTCGAGTATATTTGTGAGCGAAAGAAGAGTAAATTTTACTAGAGTTGAAAGTAGGGTGTTCCATTTGAAAAAAAAATATATTATTTGGACTTCCTTCATCATTTTGCGATTCGCATATGTTCGTTTGAAGAGAAAAATCTCACTACTTCCGCATTTCGAAAAGGAATATTTCCAGATATATTTATGAACACAAAAAAATGGATATACAGGGTGGGGCATCGTATACGACACGGTCTTTATGTGGAGAACCATACAATATTTCATAATTCTTCTCAACTGGCTGGATAGAGAATTTGTTCATGTACAATTTTAAATTATTCCTAGATATACAGGGTGATCCATAAAAAAGATACTTATCGAAGTTATATTTATTTTTTTAACAACCTATATTTTTTTCGGATTCCAGAGCACAAATGGAGGTGAGTTCCTCCAATGTTCCCTATACCTATCATTTTTCGTTTTCGAAATATTTGAAGAATTGGTGAATTGAATGGTACATGAAGATAAATTTTATTTGGCTCTGTAAATGATTTTGAACCTGCGTAATATCTTTGATTGTTTGGAGAAATATTAGAAATATACCTTCATTTATATTTCGATGTCAAAATTCATACAGGGTGATAACAAAATCATGGTTGGAAACTTACAATTTATGAAGTTAAGAAACTTTGTTATTTCAATTGGCACACCCTGTAGTTATTTACAAATTCTGACGTGAAATCTTATTTTCTTTCGACCTGTATCATGGTTCCCTATTGCTGAACCCAATACATTGCTAGAAATTGGCGATTTTATTCATAACAGCAGACATCAGTTAACTTTTTACCTATTATTACTTTCTTCGAATCAATCTAAGGCGGCTAGGACTCTGGTGTCATGCGAAATTTGTTTGTTAATTGTCAACTGACAGTTCAAAAGCGTTTGGTTTGAGAATGCAATTTTGAGAAGTTTCACTGGCGAGTTGATCTAAATGAAGACTGATCCTATGGAAGAGATGATCAATATGCTTATGATAATTGACGAGTGTCATGAAAATTGCCTTTTAGCGTCAAGAGTATACGCTCAATAATATCCAGACCTCACTCATCTGGATCGAAAGGTATTTGAACGATTACTGCAAGAATTTCGGAGATCTGAAACTGTATCTTATGTGAAAAGAAATTCGATAAGACCCATTGCAGATAATGAAGAAAATGAGTTTCTCGTGGTTGGATCTATCCGAGGATCTATCATAGAAGACCCTCATACCAGCCTACGCGAAACTGGAAGAGAAACAGGTATCAGCAGATGAAGCATATCAAGAATATTAAAAAAATATAAATTTCAACCATACCATATCCAGATGCACCAGGAACTTTATGAAATGGATTTTCATCGCCGAGTCGATTTTTGTGTTTGGGTTTTGGACAGATTAGGTGAAGATGAACACTTTATTGATCTTGTTTTGTTTTTTGATGAATCAACTTTTCATAACAACGGTCTAGTGAACAGACATAATTTCCATTATTATAATGATGAGGATCCTCATTTCATCCGCTCAGTTGATCATCAACATAGATGGTCTGTTAACGTGGGGGGGGGGGGGGAATTCTTGGGTCCCAAGTAATAGGTCCTTACTTTTTTGATGGAATTTTGAATGGACGAAAATTCCTCAGATTTTTACGCCATAACCTACCTGAACTTCTTGAGAATGTGCTTTTGAATATCAGACAGCAGATGTGGGTACAATTGGATGGAGCTCCAGCACACTTCCCACAGAATGTCAGGGAATTTCTAGACATACGTTTCCCAAATGGATGGATAGGGAGAAGCGGTTCGGATAATTGGCCACCGATGTCCCCGGATTTGACCTGTTTCAATTTTTTTATGGGGATAAATGAAAAATATTGTTTACGACACCCAGCCAACAACAGCTGAAAATATGAGAGTAACAGCTGCTTTTCAAACCGTGGATCCACAAATGGTATTAAATGTTAAAAGATCCTTCGAAAAAAGGTATCGTGTGTATAGAAGAAAATGGAGGTTATTTTGAGCATTCACTTCGATTTATTCAAAGAAAACAAACAATAATCTCCAAGTCAGTCGAGTTGTTTTCTTCAAAAATACTAGTTTTCAATTTATTCGTTCATTAAAAGTTTGTTCTTGTGTTATTTTTCATTAAGAACTGTTATAACGATAACTACCAGATATATTCTCGATATGTCCAAATGTCAACGACTTGAGAATGAATATGATAAATTATAATCCCCGTTTTGAATAAAATCGCCAATTTCAAGAATATCGGTTTTAGGTATAGAGAACCATGGTGCAGGTCGAATGGAAATCAAATTCTACGTCAGAATATGTAACTAACTACAGGGTGTGCATTTGAAATAACACAGTTTTTCAACTTCATAAATTGTAAGTTTCCAATCATAATTTTGTTATCACCCAGTATGAATTTTGACATCTAAATATAAATAAGGTATATTTATAATAATTCTCCAAACAATCGAAACTATTACGAAGGTTCAAAATTATTTGCAGAGCCAAATAAAAATTACTTTAATGTACCATAAAATTCACCAATTCTTCAAATATTTCGAAAACGAGAAATGATAGGTATAGGGAACATTGAAGAAACTCACCTCCATTATTGCTGCGGAATCCGAAATAGATAGACTTCGATATGTTTCTTTTTTATGCAACACCCTGTATATCTCGGAATTATTCAAAATTGTACATGAATATATTCTCTATATAGTCAGTTAAAAAAGATTCTGAAATATTGTAGGATTCTCCACATAAAGACCGTGTCGTATACGATGCCCCACCCTGTTTATTAAAATAATACTCATTTTTTCATTTTGTAGAAATGAGGACAGAAAATCCCAAAGAATCAAGTAGAATGCAGGTGAAACACTCTTTGTTCACCAAGAAAAATCAATTTCTTGAAATGTTACAAAATGCATACCCAGTATATATCATCCTGATTTTGGCGTTGTCAATCAAGCTGATATGACTGTTGTGATGCGTTCGTCCAGCAACACATCACAAAATCAAGGTGAAAACTTCAGACAGCAAAACAGCAATTATTCAAAGAATTGAGCCAGAAGAGTGATAAGTGATAAGATTCATGAAGAAGAACATGTATACAATATACCGCTGGACATCATAGAATCAGCTTAGAGTGCGTACCCACATATTTATTTCATGAATTGGTATGTGGATATCGCACGTTGAGAACAATAGTGTGAAAACTCAGAAATGTTGATTTTTGAGATAGAACCACCGTCGGATAGCAAATTTCGAGCTCTACTTGCACTTCTAGAATATCTTGACATCTTTAGGTCCAATAGCTGCTGCGTGAAATCGCTTGTCACGTTATTGCACTAGAGGGGAAGTAGGTACTACAGCCACCGAACATAAACACGTTTGAAGAGTAGACTCGAATAAGGAGCTGAGTGTCAAAAAGAAAAACTTTCAGCAGACTCAAAAAACCGATTCATTCAACCATTCATGAATGAAAATGTTTGTAATTTGACAAAATTATCTATTTGCAAAAACACAAAAATCCAAAATGTTTTCGATACAAACAAAAGAAAATGAAAAAAATGGAAAAGGGCAAAGTACCACTAGCATTTTCATGGTAGGTAAGTGCCGGCAACTATACTATGAGTTTTTGGTAGAACTCCCGGTGC